GTAGATCAACCGGTAACTTATATGAAGACAAGTGGCAAAGTTTTGAGACATATGCACGGAATAAAGGCTTCACTGCGATGGAAGCAACACATCCTCAAGTGGCGGAATATCTTTGTCATCTTAGACAGACAAAATGATTAAAGGGATCTACACTCTCTACATACCTAGCGGCCTTGAGCACAGTTATCACGATGGAATCTTGTATAGAACTGATCAAAGTACCAGAGATACTGGCACTACTACGCTCATTCAAGTTTGAAGACCAACAAAGAAAATTCAAGGCGCTCGCTTGGGATCTTAATGTGGTTTTACAGCATCTTACCAGTGAAGATTACGAACCACTAGAAAGGACATCATATGAGAAATTAACTCATAAAACACTGTTCCTCGTAGCCCTAGCTACAGCGGCAAGGATGTCAGAAATTCATGCTCTAGACTTTGAAAGAACAAAATTTGAAACGCATCGTGACACAGTGCATCTGGGACTAAGATGGGATTTTATAGCAAAGAATCAACTGCCCGGTCAACCAGACAGACAATTCCATATCCCAGCACTTTCGTCGATATTAGGACCACAGGATACGCAAGATCGATCCTTATGTCCAGTCAGAGCATTGAAAATATATCTACAGAGATCTAAATTGAGGAGACGAAAATTCAAGCGCCTTTTCATCCCTTTATCTACGGAGACACCTACAGAAGTCTCACGTACAACTATATCAATATGGATGAGAGCCGTTATATTGAAAGCCTATAAAGCAGCAGGACTTGATCCTCCACGAGCCTCCAATCCTCATGAAGTCAGAGCACTGGCATCCACACTAGCTCTGCATGGAAACTGCTCCATCTCAACAAATATGGAGGGCTGCTTTTGGAGATCGGAGACGGTATTTGCAAACCACTACCTCAGAGACATGGCTACAGGGGACGTCTCCGGGCATCCACCAGTTTGGGCCCCTTGTAGCACAACAATTGACGGTACCTCAAAGACGCTGAGATAATCTCACCCCTTTGTCACGTGACTTGTAAAAGCCAACACTCAACAGAGTACGGTTTTAAAGACCATGCGCACGTCGAGGACAGACTAGCATGAGTAATGGACCCTGTACTTGTAAGGACTGACTTGTACACGAAGTAGGGTCACTTCTCCACTTGATGCAAGCATCAAGAGATGGAGTTGCATAAATCCATACAGAATGTCAGGAGAAGATTTCCAGGATAAATCTGACAAGTTGTGGTCCCCCCACTCATCAGCTTCCTCATCAGAGGAAGCTGGAAGAAAGGACAAATGCCATTAGAAGTTCCCTGGGGGGGTATGCAGGACGTAAATCAGCAGAGAATCCAGAGTGGCTTGACCCACCACCGTTTCCGTCGGATTCTACAAGCAATTAAGCAAGAGTCAGGATATGGAAAAATATGTAATTTTCTGATTAAAATTGATATTTTATACTTATCCTGACTCATGAGGTTAGCCCTCCCAACCTCCCCTCATGGCACTCTGGATTTCCCTGCAAATCCAAGTGTTGGGCTCGAACTTACAGAGAGAGTGACAAGCATGGCCGATCATGTGACAAACTTTCGCGCCAAAAGATGGGGGGAAAGGGAGACAACTGGGGTGAATGATTTTACGTCCACTTTTTTGAAGGGAGCTTCAAAAGGGGATTCAAGTGTTCCACTATAGTTCGCAAGAAGAAGAAGACAAGCAATTAAGCATGAGTCAGGATAAGTATAAAATATCAATTTTAATCAGAAAATTACATTTTTATCATAAAAAATTCATAACACCTATCAGGCTATACACCATAAACAAAACGCATTGATTTATGGCCCGAGTTCAGTCTCTGTCACATTATGTAATTACACAGACAGAAAGGTGTGATACTTGTACACAGGACATGTTATTATGTCTGTTGATTGCATAATGTTATACACAGAAAATGAGCATGTATTTGCAAAACCCAACATCTCTATATACACACACACACACACACACAATGAGCTGTGAGGGCTTCGGCAAATGAACCAGCCAATGAAAGACCTCGTTACACTTGAGTGCATATACCCCACTCTGATTTTCGGTATCCCGGGTGTTTCATTTTGAGGGAAGTAAACCCATGTACAAAATATTGCACTTTTGATTTGCGATTGTACCCTTATAGTTTTGTTTATATGTTTTTTCATAATTAGCAATGTCTATTATATGTCATGAATAAGTGATAATTGTGTTTTGATTATGTTTGATTTTTTGGTTGCATGTGACCTTTAATGATTCATCATTGATTGAATGTCAGTGACAGGCACAACCAATTCAACAGTGTTTACTCCACCTTAGCATGACAAATAAACTCCTTATGTGCATTTGGGCCAGCATTATTAAAATTTAACTTCCCAATTTAAAAGTCACTGGCATTTGAACCTAGTAATTATATACTTTGTTGCCAAAGTGATATGTGTTTGTTATCCCCAGCCGCTGCGCTTAGCGCGAAGCGGGGGATATAGTATTAGGCTCCGTCCGTCTGTCCGTACGTGCGTACATACGTACGAATTGGAATATCTTAAAGGTCACATGCAACGTAAAACACAACTTTGCAGATTCTGATACCTTTCGGTATGGACTTACCGAAACAAAGCGTCAAAAATGCAAGTTCAACTTATAAAGTTGAAAAATAACGCGATGAAAAAAAACGCCCGAAATCGGAGTTCAAACGTTTCACTAATTTTCCCCAGACTTTTCTGGGGAATACGGGTTTCAACAGCTGGGCTGCGCTCATAGCACGTGCGCAGTGAAATAGGTTCGCGCAACTTGGAAGCGGGCTGTCTGGTGAATACTCGGTGAAGGCTTTGGTGTGAGATATTTTCATAATGTTTTGTTGATATCTCACAGGCGAGCTTTTATATGTTATGACAGTAAATAAACTGTTTATATAATTTCATTTGTCTATTTCACCACACGTTCTTCTTACCGAGTCACTTTCTCAGTTCGATACTTAAAAGCAATGTCATTATTTAGCGTTGACAGAATTTCTAACTGTGATATAGATATGCCGTTGTCACAGACAAAACTCAATGTCTTGTTTTATTGACACCTGTGTGTCTGCCTGCCTGTCTGCTAATGACAATATTCAATACACAACTGCGAACACTGACCACATGCAATTTGAACTTAACACCAATCAGGCTGTACACCATAAACAAAACGCATTGATTTATGGCCCGAGTTCGGTCTCTGTCACATTATGTAATTACACAGACAGGCAGGTGTGATACTTGAACACATGACATGTTATGATGTCTGTTGATTGCAAAATGTTATACACAAAAAATGAGCATGTATTTACAAAACCCAACATCTCTATATATACACACACAATGAGCCGTGAAGGCGGCATCTGCTAATGAACCAGCCGTTACACTTGAGTGCACACCCACCCGCTCTGACTGGGTTCGGTATCTCGGGTGCTTCGTTTCGAGGGAGGTAAACCGAAGTACAAAATATAGCACTTTTGATTTGCGATTATACGCTTATAATTTTGTTTATTTGTTTTTTCATAATCAGCAATGCATATTATATGTCATGAAGAAGTGATAATTGTGTTTTAATTATGTTTGATTTTTTGGTTGCATGTGACCTTTAAGAACCGTTCACTAGATTCTTTTCACCTTTTCTACCTAGTTTCATCACAGTATAAGAAAGGTCCAACTCAGGTTTGGTGACCGTGACCTTCATTTAAAGGTCACAAGGGGACTTTCACGTTTTACCTGCATGTTAAGCTATCTCAAGAACCGTTCACTGGATTTTCATATTCAACCCCAAGCTTTATCCAGGGAAGGCGCAGGGCCCAGTCAATTTTGGTGACCTTCACTTAAGTTTCAAGGTCATGGCGACACTTTGAAGATTTCAGCATGTAAACCTGCATGTTAAGCTATCTCAAGAACCGTTCACTGGATTTTCTTCATATTTAACACCAAGCTTTATCTAGGGAAGGCACAGGGCCCAGTCAATTTTGGTGACCTTCACTTAAGTTTCAAGGTCATGGCGACACTTTGAAGATTTCAGCATGTAAACCTGCATGTTAAGCTATCTCAAGAACCGTTCACTGGATTTTCTTCATATTTAACACCAAGCTTTATCTAGGGAAGGCACAGGGCCCAGTCAATTTTGGTGACCTTCACTTAATTTTCAAGGTCACAGAGACACTTTGAAGATTTCAGCATATTAACCTACATGTTATGCTTGTCAGCGAGATACTTCAAGAACCATTCACTGGAGTTTCTTCATATTTGATACCAAGCTTCATCCAGGGAAGGCGCAGGGCCCAGTCGATTTTAGTGACCTTCACTTAAGGTTCAAGGTCACAGAGACATTTTGAAGATTTCAGCATGTTAAATTGCATGTTAAGATAGTCAGCAAGATATCGCAAAGAATATTCAGTGGATTTTCTTCATATTTGACACCAAGCTTCATCTAGGGTAGGCCCAGGGCCCAGTCAATTTTGGTGACCTTCACATTATTTTTAGGGTCACGACGACACTTTGAAGATTTCAGAATGTTAATCTGAATTGTCTGCATGATATTTTAAGAACAGTTTACTGGATTTTCTTCATAGACTTTTAAGACTTCTCCTGAATGTTTTTCAATAAGCAATTTCTTTAGTACTAGTTTTGCATATTTCATACACTATGACATTCATGTCAAGGTCAAAGTCAGTCTTGAAAATATGTGTGTGTTTGAACAACTAAAGAGCCAGATATCAAGAGAGCTTGATTAGTCATGTTTTTGTTGACATTTAACTTCATCTTAAACTTTCACTACTTTATAAGTTTAATTTGATCATTTGCGGCGGGGGATTATGTCACCTTAGTGACAATGCTTGGTTTTTTTAAATTGTGAAAAACTTAATATTGTATCATGATTTATTCATCAAAGTGTCTCAGCCACTTGTGATTCAGATTTGTACTATAGATTCTTACCTATGGTAATGTAATTTCGTTTTGTGTAGAGTTCGAGCCTGGTGCTGTAGTATGGGCCAAATTGGAGGGGTATCCTTGGTGGCCAAGTCTGGTGTGTAATCATCCAACTCAGAAGAAACATACCAAAGGAGGAAAACAAGTCCAACTGCATGTCCAGTTCTTTGATGACCCTCCATCTCGGGCCTGGGTCCGGGCAAAGTAAGATCACACTCTATGCCATTCAAATTTTTGTGGCGAATTACTTATAATGCAAAGCCATCATTATCAAGTCTATCATTTATCATATATGACCGTAGATAAGCCGATCCTAACTTGACCCTTAAAATCAGTATCAAAATGGAATGTTCCGTAGAAAACACAACCCCCAACCTTTGCTCATCTTTTCGTCATGATCAGTCATGGGAAATAGTGTCAACAAATCCATATTGAATTGCGCACGTTTATCCTCTGATATATAACAGGGCTGTGCAATATAACCGGTTTACCGGTATTTACCAGTTCAGACATGAAAACGATACGTATTGCGCTACACTGATCGAAAACCGGTATTTTGACTTGCATTCGGAAAACTTCGGAAATCTTCGGATATTTCCTTGTTTCATTTTATTTGTGCTAAATATTATTTACATTTTTATTTTGTCATGATTAAAAGTTTTTATTAAAGCTTAATCAAGCATAGTGATTTTGTTGTGTTCATGCATTATAAATCAAGCATTAACTCGATTATAAGTAGTTTTTTGTTTAAAAATACTTCTTGCAATATATTGCAATACATATCGCAATATATGCTTTCGCATCGCAATATATCACAATATGAAAATTCTTTGCAATACCCACCCCTAATATATAACACTTTGGTCTGCATTATTCACAGCAATCACGATTATCCTCTGATATATAACACTTTGGTCTGCATTAATCACAGCAATCACAATTATCCTCTGATATATATCACTTTGGTCTGCATTATTCACAGCAATCACGATTATCCTCTGATATATAACACTTCAGTCTGCATTATTCACAGCAATCACAATTATCCTCTGATATATAACACTTAAGTCTGCATTATTCACAGCAATCTGGATTATCCTCTGATATATAACACTTTGGTCTGCATTATTCACAGCAGTCACAATTATCCTCTGATATATAACACTTTGGTCTGCATTATTCACAGCAATCACGATTATCCTCTGATATATAACACTTTGGTCTGCATTATTCACATCAGTCACAATTATCCTCTGATATATAACACTTCAGTCTGCATTATTCACAGCAGTCACAATTATCCTCTGATATATAACACTTTGGTCTGCATTATTCACAGCAATCACGATTATCCTCTGATATATAACACTTTGGTCTGCATTATTCACATCAGTCACAATTATCCTCTGATATATAACACTTCAGTCTGCATTATTCACAGCAGTCACAATTATCCTCTGATATATAACACTGGTCTGCATTATTCACAGCAGTCACAATTATCCTGATATATAACACTTTGGTCTGCATTATTCACAGCAATCACGATTATCCTCTGATATATATCACTTTGGTCTGCATTATTCACAGCAGTCACAATTATCCTCTGATATATAACACTTCAGTCTGCATTATTCACAGCAATCACGATTATCCTCTGATATATAACACTTCAGTCTGCATTATTCACAGCAATCACGATTATCCTCTGATATATAACACTTCAGTCTGCATTATTCACAGCAATCACAATCATATTGCTTCTACTCATGCCTTGAAATGAAGTGTAGTCGACAGAAAATGGATACATATACATATTTTGTTTCGTTAAAAGTCATATTTGTTGTATCTGGACTATCACATGTCAACAAACTTCTTTCACGGTGGAAATAGCAGTATCGCACATATACCTCATCGGTGACAGGTCAATTTGTTCAATACATAAAAACTATCCAACAATACAGCAAAGTACTGTCACATAACCTTTGTTACGATTATAAATAGTTTACATTTATAGAGCAAAACATGCAATTTAAATGCCACAGTGCTAGAATATGTTTCTCTCTGTAAACTAATAGTTTCAGATACTATATATTTTCCTTATCCTGACTCATGCTTAATTGCTTGTCTTCTTCTTCTTGCGAACTATAGTGGAACACTTGAATCCCCTTTTGAAGCTCCCTTAAAAAAGTGGACGTAAAATCACTCGCCCCAGTTGCCTCCCTTGAATCCATCTTTTGGCACGAAAGTTGGTCACTTGATCGGCCATGCTTGTCACTCTCTCCTTCTTCGCCCTAGTGGATGGTTGTGAGATCGCCTGGGTCCCCTATACGGCATATATCCTTTGAATTTTGGGCTGTTATACTAAATTAGGCTGTATAAGGGCTTTATCAAGGATTTACCAGCAATATGGTTTGAAACTTATTCTAAATTTGTCCGTTTTTTCACGTTGTTGACAACATGTCTCAACTTGTTTACATTTCATGAAGACTTGCATTTCTTGCAGGTTTCGATTGTCGGCTGCTGATCCACAATTACTATGTCCTAACTGCACTTCTATATGTTCTTCCAGCCTCCTCTGTAAACTTTGTCAGCATTTATCTCAAATTGAATTTTGTAATTATTTATATTCTGTTCATAGACGTGCCAAGGACAAATTGAGACGGCAGTTATTAGTCATGTCTCAACAGGGTGAATGCGTTAATAACCGTGGGTTGTTGTCTGTCGAGGTACATCATTCCAGTGTGCTGCCGGTGACGTCTGCTGAGCAGAAAATCGAGGGTTCTGGCCTTAGGAAAAGATCGTCTTCGACTCAACAATCCTCGTCGCAGTCTAAGAAGACCAGGACGCCGTCTGCTGCGAAGACTAAGACGTCTTCAGACAAGTCTACAGTCAAGTCGTCAGTGGGGGCAGCGAAGAAGTCAAGATCCTTCGCCGCAGATATCAACCCATCGGACGAAGCAGACGTTTACGATGAGTCGCCGATCCTCATCCCTGAAGTACAGACGAGGAAGAAGATGAGATCTCGTGAAGGCATTCGCAGAAGGACCACTGGTGAAGACACTCTTGGAAACAACAACCATTTGCGGAGGCATCGCAGATCATCTTCATCCTCGGACTCAGACAATCACCAGAGGTCTACGCGTTCACCATGCAGAAGAGATTATACGCCTTCACGAAGGCATACAACTTACAGAGACAGGTCACCGTCGCACAGATCCTCGGCAAGATCTTCATGGTCGTCACCACGCAGATACAGATCACCTAGTACATCTCCAATTAGGCATTCACGAATGCCTGCGCGGAGGCTTACACATAGATCTCCACCTAGAGATCAGGACCAACAGCAACGATCTTTGGGACGAGACACCTCGAAACCGGAGGATGATGGAGGAATCATCTTCTCCGATACAGAGATCAAATCATGGATGGCTAATGGTCTGGAGCTTGCATCACCATCTAAAGAGAATAATGAAGCCTACACGTACATGATGTCTAACGACTATTTTGACACGCTAACGCTGCCACCTATAGATCCGGTACTGGACGTCCCAGACAACCTCAGCTATCAGTATCAGAGTCAAAGCATTCCACCGTTTAATGCTAAGAGATTTTCACTACATCATATGGAACCATTCATGAAGGCCCCAGAAGTAGATGAAAACTATAAACTCATCAATGACGCTCGCATCAGGACTTATAAAGTGGAGGACAAGAAGCTAGCGCAACTAGACACAACCGCTAGAAATACCAGATTAAATCGGATTAGCCAGGTCAAGGGCCATCAACGAAACCCTAAATGCAAAGTTTGCAAACTCTACATCTGAAGAAGATCGGATGATCTACTCAGCCTTATTAACCCAAAGGAAAGACCAACAGTTCATGTCAGAACACCTAGCGTCTACATCGATGGGATTAACACTGCTACTAAGACAAGGTCTACTATCATCTTGTAAATGGAGTGAGAAGTTCACCAAACCACTATTCAGAGCTCCATGGGCAGCAACGAATATCTTCGCAGGAGAAATTGAGGACGTGGCTAAAGGAGTTACGAAGGAGTCCAGAGAAGTTATGATGATCAAGTCCATCGATACACTGGCCAGCGTTATCAGACAGACATCACAGCGCTACTCTGGCAAATCTAAATTTGCAGGGATAGAGAGAGCTTTAGACAGGATATACGGCACTTCCAAGGGATATAAGGATTCTTTTCATCGCCCCACCGGAACTCCTAGAGGTAACCTCGGAAGAGGCAGAGGATTCAGAGGTGCCAGGAACTTTAGACGTAGATGGACAGGGTCGGAACGACTGGAGTCTTCCACCCCCAGCCGTTCCCATACAACCCTCACCAGTGGGTGGACGCCTTCAACTTTACTGGAAGAATTGGGGAATTCTACAAGACGATTATGTATCTCAGATACAACACAGAGGTTACAAGATAGAACTGCAAGAAGTTCCACCTTTAACAAGCACTCCTCAGATGTACAACTATGCTACCGATCAGAAGGAGAAATTACTCGATGCCATTACAACTCCACTCGACAAGAAGGCAATCGAAGAAATAAAAATCGTCACACCAGGTTTCTACTCCCCGATTTTTCTGGTCCCAAAGAAAATTTCCAAGGAAAAGTTCCGCCTGATTTACAACATGAAAAAGTTCAACCAGGATTATCTAAGAAAGCCCGCAAGATTCAAATGGTACATCTTCCACAACTCAGACAGATTATCCGTCCGTCAGATTATCTAGCCAGCATAGATCTACAGGATGCGTATCTTCACATCCCAATACATCAGGACTCAAGGAAATACCTACGATTCCTGTTCAACGGACGTCACTACCAGTGGAGGGTACTACCGTTTGGAATATCGTCGGCCCCCTGGTTGTTTACTCGAGTGATAAAGCCCATCGTCAGTTACCTACATCATCAAGGTCTACGCAGTGCGTTTTACCTCGACCACGGGATTCAAGCTCATCAAGATCCCAATCTACTCGGACAGCAACTGAACTGACGTTTATGATCAAGCTACTCACTCAACTAGGATGGTTAGTAAATCATCTCAAATCGGAATTAGAGCCTACACAGGATCTACAATTCCTAGGAATACGAATCGTCTATTAGTCCCGGAGGACTGTTGGATCAAGATACAACAGATGATATCACAAACACTACTCTCTCCGTTACCACTACGAGAGTGGCAGAGTCTACTCAGTCTCCTCACGTCAGCGCAAGATATGACACGCAGAGGCAGATTACTTTTACGCCCACTACAAGTGTTTGTCAACGATCATCTAGACAGTCTGGATCCATTCGTCCTACCGAACGAGCTGAAACCATACCTATTATGGTGGACACAGAAGTAGAATGTCTGCGCAGGAACCTACTTAGCAGAGCCGGGATCCAACACTCATCTCTACGCAGATGCATCCCACCAAGGATGGGGAGTTCACTTAAACAACAAAGTGGCATCGAGAAAGTGGTCGAATCAGGAGCAAAAGCTACACATCAACATGCTAGAGTTGAAAGCAGTCATAAACGCCTTACTACACTGGTCCAGCATACTAAGGATCGGTCAACTGATGATCCATACGGACAACTCCACAGTGGCGTTCTACATCAACAAACAAGGGTCAACAAGGTCAAGGAGCATGTTGGACCTCAGCTTTCAACTATTCAGCAAAGTAGACAACCTGAACATCGACATAAAAGCGTCACACATTCCCGAAGCCAGAAATGTGATAGCAGACGCCCTATCCCGTCATATGAATCCGCCACCGACAGAGTTGATGCTACACCCAGAGGCATTTAAGGACATCATTCGGACAATAGGATCCCCACTGGTAGATTTGTTCGCAACCAAGTCCAACAAACAACTACCAACATTCGTCTCTCCGGTCCCAGATCCTCAAGCATGGGCAACGGACGCCTTGAGAATATCGTGGGAAGGACTAAACGAGTACGCGTTCCCTCCACCGGCACTAATACCGAAGGTATTACAGAAAATCAAAATGACGAACAATTTACAACTTATTTTGGTCGCGCCTTACTGTTACTCATAGCCTTAGCTACAGCGGCAAGGATGTCAGAAATTCATGCTCTAGACTTCGAACGAACAAGATTTGAAATGCATCGTGACACAGTGCATCTAGGACTAAGAAAGGATTTTATTACAAAGAATCAACTGCCCGGTCAACCAGACAGACAATTCCATATATAGGACAACAGGATACGCAAGACCGATCCTTATGTCCAGTCAGAGCATTGAAAATATATCTACAGAGATCTAAATTGAGGAGACAAAAATTCAAGCACCTTTTCATCCCTTTATCTACGGAGACACCTACAGAAGTCTCAGGTACAACTATATCAATATGGATGAGAGCCGTTATATTGAAAGCCTATAAAGCAGCAGGACTTGATCCTCCACGAGCCTCCAATCCTCATGAAGTCAGAGCACTGGCATCCACACTAGCTCTGCATGGAAACTGCTCCATCTCGACAATAATGGAGGGCTGCTTTTGGAGATCGGAGACGGTGTTTGCCAACCACTACCTCAGAGACATGGCTACAGGGGACGTCTCCGGCATCCACCAGTTTGGGCCCCTTGTTGTAGCACAACAATTGCGGTACCTCAAAGGCGCTGAGATAAATCTCACCCCTTTTGTCACGTGACTTGTAAAAGCCAACACTCAACAGAGTACGGTTTTAGAGTCCATGCGCTCGTCTTTTCGCGCCAAAAGATGGATTCAAGGGAGGCAACTGGGGCGAGTGATTTTACGTCCACTTTTTTTAAGGGAGCTTCAAAAGGGGATTCAAGTGTTCCACTATAGTTCGCAAGAAGAAGAAGACAAGCAATTAAGCATGAGTCAGGATAAGTATAAAATATCAATTTTAGTCAGAAAATTACATTTTCCTGATCACTTCATCAGAATTCATCTTGTTACATTATTGGTATGTTTTAACCGAATCACCAGTTCATCGCGGGGAAACTTGTGCACAATTTGATTGCTATTTCCAGCTATGTACAGTGAGACCCCGGATATCCGGACACATTCGTTTTTATGTAAATCGTCCGGATATATCTGGATATCTGTCATCCAGGCTTACCGTATATTACCGTCTATAAGCCGAATTTTGAGGATAAAAAAAGCAGTGTGTAGAAGGGGGTCGGCTTATCTTCATGAGTTACGCTTTCGTCAAACTTTTGTCCAGGGGTAAGAAAACAACATGTCACTTCGAGTGAACAAACAACAGAAGACAACTTTGTCAGTAAAGACGTCAAATTTGCAATTAAACATCACTAGACAAGATTATTTACCTCTTAAGTACTAACATGTTTTTGCTGGGTATTGTATTATTTGCAGGGATTAAGATTACCATGTGTATTGGAGCCGGAAATAGCAATCAGCTGTGCACATGTTCCCGGCGATCAAGTTCAAACATGCACAATAATATAGTAGGTGTTTGAACGGTAGCGAGCATACACTTCGGGTTTAAAATCACTTCCAAAACAGCATGGTCATTTTGATTTGCCAACTACAATTCACTATGTGTCAGACAGGTCTACTAATCACCACCAATACCCTGCTTAGCAGACCTTGTCTCTTGTCAAAACACGTGGGACACTCGCGCTTCGCTTCACACGGTCAGCGGAAGATCAAAGCTTCGTGCGGATAAGTGAGTCAATTTTGAGTTGATTTAACCAGTTGGTTTGTAAAATTTACCGTCCGGGAACGGAAACCGCATATCCGTTATGGACAGTCACTTTTACAACGTAAGAGATTGTTTTTTTATGAAAATTGACCGGAAGACGAGGTTTCTGGATATTTGGGGTCCGGGTATCTGGGGTCTCACTGTATACGAGACAAGTACACACATTCACGGCATATAAGACAAAGCCTAGCAGAAACAAATTATAACTGAATAGGTAAATAATCTTTTCCAGTGATAAGTGATAAACTGATATTTAATTGCAAATTTGACGCCTGTACTGACAAAGTCGTATTTTCTTGTTCGTTCACGCGAAGCGACAGAATGTCGTTTTCTGACCCTCTGAAAAAAAGTATGTTGAAAGTGTAACCCCTTCTATAGCCTTTTTTTTTTTTGTTCCTCAAAATTTGGATTATCTACGGTAGTATACAGTACATATCACTACAGCCACATGCAGTGGTGCTTTCCTGCATATATGTCAGTGGTTCTGGACCTGTGAGAGGTACTCAACCGATCAACATGTGAAGTTCGTGTCTACGATGGTTGGAAATCATCTGCCCAAAATTAATGTTACTATGGCAATTGTTTCTCTAACTGTACATTCATTGTCAAATGAAAAGTTTCTATTCCTATAGATGTGAATGTTGCAATGTTCTGTTCAGATATGTCAAGGACTTCAAAGGTTCAGACGATAAGGAGTTCCAGCGAGGAGGTCAGTTCCACTGCCACGATTCCGAGTGTTATGAGGGGGCACTGAAGGCTGATGCAGCTATAAAGATGGGTGTGGAGGAGCGACTCTCCACTCTCATTGTGGAGCTTCAACCTTCTGACAGTGAGGAAAGTGCAGAGGAGGTAACAGAACCCATGGAGTTTGACCGTAAGTAGAACAGTTTTTCGTGGGATGACTGCCAACAGCAATGTAAGACAAGTAAGAACATTGTGGCTAGGTGGATGTTGGAATTCTAAGAGTAAAATAATATATTTCAGCTGATATTTTTGATGCGGAGATGGAGGACGGGGAAGCGGACAACAGCAAGGAAAACCATAATGACAGCATCAAGACTGATGACAGCAAGGTAACTGGCATAATATAACTGTACAATATGTAGCTGAGGTGCCTAATCTCCTGTGCCCAGTTGAGGCCCCTTTGGCACAACATAAACTTAGGTTTAAGGGGTCAAATCACCTGCCCTGGAATTGATTTTCCGTAAAGAAATTATGAAACAACAGCCAACCATTTAAGTGTCCTTTTCATGACATATATTACTCAAAAGAAGTTTGAATACTCAAGATAGGACTGCTGCGTGTTGTAACACCGACCAACCATGTAACATGTTTTGGTGGAAACCTCACACCAGTCGAACCATCATGAAGTGCTGATGTAAATGATTGTTATGGTACTGTTTACTCTTAGCCATTAGCCAGTGGAAGCTGTCTAAACAGGCTCTTATCCGGACTGAAGAAATAAAGCGGTTTAGACAGCGTGCCGGATTGTAGAGTTGACACAGTTACCTACGACTAGAACTGAACCAGTTTTGTTGTATACATTGTTATATCATGATGTTCTCTCAATTAATGCACACATTGACAATAAAAGACAAAGATTTGAGCTCATATTTACTTTTATTCTCTTAATAACATAAACATGATAAATCAACACATTTGAAAAAATAAGACATTTTGGTTTGTTGTCCACAACCGCAATGCGGAATAGGGGACTATGGATTTAGCAGCATTCGTATGTCTGTCCATACGTTTATCCAGTTTCTTGTTAACGCGATATCTCATAAACTATTGTACCCAATGTCTTCAATACCCAGTCCTGATGCGATCATGTGACTAATAGATTAAACAATGTAATATGTTATTCTTTCATGATTAAAAAGTTGTATTGTCTTTGAAGATTTAGACATAATTTACAGTCACCTGTTTTGAATATAATACATGATGAAGATATTCAGAAATTTTAGCCTCAGAGCTGAAGGATATATTGCCATTTCTTCCAAATTTGATGTCAGGAATTAACATGATGGGTGTCAGGGTAGGGTAGGGTAGGGTAATAGGGGGTGGGGTACCTGGGTAGAAAATTTGGACTCGTTCAAGCCCTAATACCCACTGATACTGATAGAGGATATGTCCATCTGCATCTATACATTCAAATCTACTTTATTCCTTAAATATCTTCAGAGTTTGAAGATTCTGAGAAGTGACAATGACTAAAAACAACATCACACAAAAGGTAATCTTCTATGTGACCAACAGATAAGACTAGTAAATATGTTCGGATCTCGGCATAGGCTTCGCGCGAGTCTTGGGGGGAGGAGAACGAGGAAGACAAAAAGTGTCTCTATATACTCAAATGCAAGAATGCACTCTCTCTCTCTCCCCCCGCTTTTATACTACTATTTTTCCTTTGCGTGGTCGTGCCACCATCGTCTATGCTACAGACACTCATGGGTGACCCATGTCAACTCATTAATTACATGTACAAGTATACCCATACTGAAGTAAGATTAAATTATCTTTGTCGGCAACCATGTCGTTTCAACGCAGGATGCCGGTGGTGCAAGGCGTAACCCGCACATACACAATCCAGGTGCTGTACTCGTGCCAGACAACCTTCCCTAGTCAGCAGCCAAGTACTACAGCATGTCCATTGACACTAGCACCAGCTGTCTGGCATGTGTCTTTGGCCTATGCCTCCAAGGCTCCTACCGCTGCAGGCAGTGTCCATGGTTCAGGAAACTTACACTCTGTGGCAGTTGAGTACTGCAGCACCTCTAGTGATTCCTCCATTTTTTATGTCTGCTGTTTTCAGAGGGATTTATAGTGTGTCATTCTTCAATAGACATCACCTCTTTTACTGCAACCACCCTGGAGGCATTTGTTTCTGCACTCTGTGTTGCAGAAGGCATACAGAAGGCCTCAGATGTTCTACACAGGAGGGCCTCAGCTCCAGGCTCTTTCAACCATGGTCCGCCAGAAGCACCCTCAGCCCCTCCATTACTGCAGCTACTCATGTACTTCCCATGATTACACCACCTTCTAATTATCAGGCAACTGCATCATCTTGATCAGCAAAATCCTCAAGCTGGTCAGCTTGATCGTCAGTGTCTCCTGCTCCCAATGACCACTGTTCTTTGCATCATCTCATCTTCCCCAACAGGCCTCTTGCTGCTACTTACCTATATCACCCAGAAGGGGGCTTTTAAGCTCTCTCTGGTTACTGCCTCATGCTCAGGTTGGACTGGACCCTTCTTCAGCTTCCCCACATGGGTACAATTTGTGAAGCCCATTTCTGGTGTCCCCCGCCGTGATATTGCTGGAATATTGCTAAAAACAGCGTAAAACCATACTCAGTCAGTCTTCAGCACCATGAAATGAATGGGATTTTACAGAAACAGGGTTTTACACAGACTTTGAAAAATGGGAGTCATGGTGACTCACAGTAGAAATTTTGGGGAGTCATTTTCAATATTTGGGAGTCAGGAAAATGTTATTGTGCTCAATCAGTAGGACTTGCCGTGTGATGAGAAATGTGAGATATCTTGAGATGTTGCTAACTGCTGATGAAGCACACCTGTACATATGTTACAGACAAGTCCAAGGAAGACATCCAGTAAGAAGAGTCGTCCTTCACGATCAAGTGGAAAGCACAAGAGAAGGCGGCTTATGTTGTCCACCAGTGGAGAAGAGGAGTCAGGTATGTCACATGAGTGGGCCACTTGAAGCTGAGGGCATGACGCTTGTAACATTGGCAGGTCTCTCACATCAAGTAATGTGGCTGGTGTCTTCATTTACCAATACTTGTACAAGATCAGTAACATGGGGCTCTGTTGATTGTGGTGTAATCTGTGTGAATGTGCATCACGCCTACAGGGGAGCAACCTGTGTGAATGTGTATCACACTTACAGGGCTGATAATTGATTGCTGTGTGCAACCTGTGTGAATGTGCATCACGCCCACAGGGGAGATAATTGATTGCTGTGTGCAACCTGTGTGAATGTGCATCATGCCTACAGGGCTGATAATTGATTGCTGTGTGCAACCTGTGTGAATGTGCATCATGCCCACAGGGGAGATAATTGATTGCTGTGTGTAACCTGTGTGAATGTGCATCATGCCTACAGGGCTGATAATTGATTGCTGTGTGCAACCTGTGTGAATGTGCATCATGCCTACAGGGGAGATAATTGATTGCTGTGTGTAACCTGTGTGAATGTGCATCATGCCTACAGGGCTGATAATTGATTGCTGTGTGCAACCTGTGTGAATGTGCATCATGCCTGTGTGAATGTGCAGGGGAGATAATTGATTGCTGTGTGCAACCTGTGTGAATGTGCATCATGCCTACAGGGGAGATAATTGATTGCTGTGTGCAACCTGTGTGAATGTGCATCATGCCTACAGGGAATGTAATTGATTGCTGTGTGTAACCTGTGTGAATGTGCATCATGCCTACAGGGGAGATCATTGATTGCTGTGTGCTACCTGTCTGGCGCTCGGCATTAATGGGTACAACAAGGACTGGTCGGCTCGGAGTCAGTATAATGTGTCTGAATGGGGTATTCATGCTTCACTGCGGCATGGTATCTCAGTGGGCTAGCACTATAAAACCAGCTTAAGTCTTGGCTAGTACAAGCAGCTGCACATACACATACACACGCATGCACATCATCATATGAGCGAAATATTCTCAAGCACGACGTAAAACCCAATTTCACCTCACCTTTGGATTGTAATTTACAAAAAAAAATCGATTTGTTTTTATGCTGACAAGATAGATTTTACTGAAAATAGACTTTTTTGCTTGAAGGCAGCAAATTATTGACTCTTTCCCTATGCAAATTGCAATACAAATCAGGCTAGTGGTGAACTGGTGCTCTACCATGATTTGGGATACTGCAATCATTTCTTTTGTTTTTCAATGACCTGAAAGCATCAAGTGGCACTGAAATTGAGTATAAGTTGCCAAACTCCATTTCCCAGACTGGAGGATAACAATCTCCCCTGTTTGGCTGTCGTCAGCTTGTCTGACTGTATTAACTACAAATGTACTATTGCTGATTGTCATGTAAACATATTGTTAAAGCTGATCTCTGACTCACTTTGCTAATAACTTGGTCATTGTTGATGATTGATCCTTTAATGCTGTGCAGCTTGTTTGATGTCTTAGTCTGAATACATGCCACCGCAGTCATATAGCTGGACTATTGCTAATTTTGGTCTTAAACAACAAACAAGACTTGGCAGAAGACTCGTCTTTTAATATTTGATAATGTAACCTGCTAGATATGTCATTTTCCAGAGCTCCAGATAAGATTTAGCTCATGTGGGTACTGTACCCACTGTATTTTTTTAGAGTGTGTATTATGAATGTTGAGTGGGTATTTCATTTTCCGTTACCCACTGCTTTCAAATATGTGCGTATTTCAGTCATTTTACTCACCTAAGTATTATGTCATTGAGTAAGTTTACTAAGCAGGTATGTTCTACCTTATGTCATACCTAGTCAAAACCAACTTAAATATAATGGAAATGATTTCATAAAAAATCACTCACCCTATACTGACAGTACAACACTTGTCCTATACTAACAGTACAACTTGATAGCAATCGATGTCTTTTTCATAACGCAAGTGATTTTTATAAATATATTCTGTACGCATTTGTTTTAAACTTTTTGCATATGGGTCATTTTCAAAATTGGTAGGATTTTCTGTCCGTTCCAAATAAAAAAAACCTCCGTTAACTTAAAAGGATTTTTTTGTGCTAGAAAACATATTTAGATGTTTACTAGTCAGTATATGTGGTATATCATTAGTCTTGTCATTTTGAAATTTATATTTAGCCACATTTTAGGGTCAAAATTGGCAGATTTGCTCTGTCCGGAGGGTCCTAATATCAATGTTCACAAATAATGTAAATTTAAATGCAAATAAACAAACTAATTCATATTATGCCAATTAGGATTGAACAGGCATACTCAAACTGCATTTAATTTTTTTTTAACTTAAAAAGGTTTTTTTCTACAAATTGTAACATGCTTGTCCTGTGATTCTGTGTCCTGACCGTTACCAGTGTATGGAATTCCAGCAATAATTTCCCCCTGGAGCTGGATTGTAATTCTACTTCCTGTGTCTGCTTGAGCTAGCCCCTGTGCATGTGACAGCAGATGAAATAATGAAATTCAACACATTTTGCAGAACATTGACACCATCAAATGCATTATAAATGTTATGTGTCAACCTTAATTGTCCAGACCGTTACCAATGTATTTTGTGTCAAATATATCCCTTTGATTTTTTAAATTTCAATGGATATGTTACCCAGAAATGGAAGAGGTGGAAGGCATGTCCTTTGAAATCTTTTAGGGATCATTCATTTTTTTATTTTAGATTTACTTACAAATTGTCTTGACCGTTACTGTCCAAACCGTTACCATTCTGCAAAGTAACGGTTTGGACAGTCCTTGTAACGGTCTGGACAAAATGATTTGTATTTCAAAAACTTGTTCATTAATATTTGAAATATAACAAATTTATAATTACTTTAAGGGTTAAGATAAGTTTAAGCATGGAATTTTACTGTTCAAAGGAGTTTTGATGTAGTAGCATAAAAAAACAGTCTCTAGTAACGGTTTGGACAAATAATAGTAACGGTCTGGACATATCTTTAATAAATTTCAATTTTAAAGAATATGTTCCATGGTGTGATAATAATTTTCTGTTTACTAATCTATCTGCTTTAAATAATAAAAACCAAAAGCGAATTTAATAATGTTAAGTTTCTATTTTCTATAAGATCTATAGTCTTTATAAATTAAAGGTAACGGTTAGGACATCTATGGTAAAAGTTTGGACAAAATGTAGTAACGGTAAACAACTTTCAGTATTCCAACCTTTAAAGATTTAAACTGTTTTAACTTTAACTGTGAGATATGTAAGGCTACCATTTACTTTGAATATTTGCTAGGTGCTAATATGTTAATATGTGTTACCATCTCATGATTAACAAAAACTAAAGGTATCCGAGTGAATGAAAGAAGTATATTTCGTGGAGACTAATATTGCACCATAATATCAACAGCAAAATGATGTCTATGCAGTGGCCTGTGTAGCATGACCATGTGTACAGTATCATAGTTGTTGCAGTACCTTTCAGAATTTAATCTTTTGCAACTTTTTAGAGGGATAACATTTGTTTGTTACACTGATGTCCTGACCGTTACCAATAATGTCACAACCGTTACTATTCATTCAATTTTCGTTCCCCAATTGCACTCTTCTTTAGATTATAAGTGATTTTCAACGTAGACAGGTGCGTTTTTCTATTCTTTAGAAGCTACAGTTTGTTTTTATTCAAAAGCCTAAATTCATTCACAAGTTTCATATTGATATAACAAATGTCCAAACCGTTACCACAGCATGGAAGAAAACATGTCACATTTGTTACAAGTTGCAATTTCTAATACACATTTCACTGTCTGTCCAAAATAGGGTTAGCAATTGAAGTAAATGATATCATTTTTTCCCTTCATGCTACATGTTTCTATGTTGAATTAAATTTTTTAAGGTTTATGGCCAGCCCATTACCATTCCTGTCCAAACCGTTCCCACTATTGTCCTAACCGTTACTGGTGTTAATTGACTGCTGTAATTAATTCATGATAATACATGAAACACTCCTCTTTATGCTAGTGTCATCAAAAGATGTCCTCGGCTTAGTAGCTGATGTTTATTTTAGACAATTTTACCTGTTGAAAGCTATATGCATAATAATGTTTTAGAAAAATGCAATTATTTTGTGGTAAATAAATGAAAGATACAAAATAACACTTTCAAGATTCATGATAATAGTTTTTACCTTCAAGTTTGATTAAGTCAGTGTAAAAGCTGTGCATGCCATCTTTAAAAGATTTTTATGAATTATAACTCAAAATCCTTATTCTGATTAAGAAATGGTAACGGTCAGGACTTTCCCTCACCCTATTAATTACTTATGTATCAATTAGAAGGTCAATTAGTAAATTTGAGCCTGCATGTTTGTATTATTGAATAATTAAGTATTTGAGATTTCATTTGAATAAAAACTAAATCAATTTTCAGGAGATTGATTTTTCTGTAATAAAGAATTGAAAATCCTACCAATTTTGAAAATGACCCATATACAACATTTTAAATGTGTAATTGGTACGCAAGAATTATTTTTCAATGCGTAATTGGAAATTTTCTATGCATATTTTACCCGGATACGCAGCTTATCTGGGCCTCTGATTTTCAACATTAGATCTTTTCTGCAATCAAAATAAGAAGTCAAAATGAAAGTACTGATGTCGCCTAAGCAATGTCCAACATGTTGCAGGCGATGAGTTCAAACCTGACTCAGGCAGCAGTGATGAAGATGACAGTGGCAGTAGTGGTGAAGATGAGGATAAAGTTTCTGGGCCAGAAACAGAATCTGATGCTGAATCTCCTGTCAAGGTGAGACATTTATCAGAATCTGCCTATTGAGGGTCGATGATGATTTCTTGATCCTATTACAGTAACAACTGAAACAGTGTTTTCCTGATATACTCTGAAACCTCCTTTTTCTGTGTAACTTTAGGGTTTATGAACCACAGTTGGGGCCATACTTCAAGCAGTATTTGGGTCCATTACTCTTGTTATAGCATCTCTACAAGTGTTACCTGTTACTTGGTCACACCGAGATAATCATGTCAGAAGTGGACGCATGGTCATTATTTTGTGTTGTGTGGAAACATATACTTATCCCCACAGTTTGAAAAAGGGGGGGGGGCTTTAGTAGGGGTGAAACGATATACTGCGGTATTAGTAGAACTGTGGTATTTTGCCTTTGGTTCAGTATACTGTAATGCAGTCCAAACATTTGCTATTTTCGTTTTTCCTACCATCATTTTATTATCCTTTTTAAACCTTTTCTATTTTCTAAAATGTCTAGAAATTGAATCATTTTGTCAAAATATCTAGGTTTGGCTCTTGTCAATTTTCTGCATTATGATTGTATCTCATATATTGAACCAAAACGGACCAAACCGAAGCCCTTGTACCGCAAAACGCACTGTACCATGGTAATAGCCTACCGTTTCACCCCAAAGCTTTAGCAATCTGCATAGTCTGTCAGGAGCAGAAAAAATTAAGAGTTGAATAACTTCTTTGTAGACCCAAGTCATACAGGTCAGTCCCATGAACTGGTTCCTTATGATCCTTTTGGATTGTAATTTACCAAAAAATTCGTGTTTTTTTTAATGCTGACAAGATAGACTTTACTGAAAATAGACTTCTTTTTTTTTAAGGCAGCGAATTGTTGACTCTTTCCCTATGCAAATTGCAATACAAATCAGGCTAGTGGTGAACTGGTGCTCTACCATGATTTGGGATACTGCAATCATTCTTTTGTTTTTCAATGACCTGAAAGCATCAAGTGAGCACTGAAATTGAGTATAAGTTGCCAAACTCTATTTCCCAGACTGGACTGACTGACTGACTGAGTTTGGTTTTACGCCGCTTTTAGCAATATTCCAGCAACATCACGGCGGGGGACACCAGAAATGGGCTTCACACATTGTGCCCATGTGGGGATTCGAACCCGGGTCTTCGGCGTGACGAGCCAACGCTTTAACCATTAGGCTACCCAACCGCCCCCCAAGACTGGAGGATATGGGAGACTTATGTAATACGCTTGTAGAATGACCGTTATGACCAAATATTCTTCCCTCTTTCTGCATTTTAAGTCTTCCTAGTGATGGTTTGGTGATTGTTGATGAAAATGTTTCAGAGTAGGAAGAGGAAGCGGCCGAGTTCAACCCCTAAGCCCAAGTCGTCCAGTCAGCCCAGCATAGCTGACAGGTTTGCAGGGTCAATGTTGTCGGCTGAGAGACGGCACAGCTTCAAACCTGCAGTGTCGGACAAAACCAAGTCAAAACTTGCATCTTTCAATGCACCAGAACAAGTAGGTTGATGTCATCACGACCTTCACCAACATGGAGGTGTGACATGGCCTTTCTCTATTACTTCTGTTGGTTTTTCAGCTCAGACAGAAACTTGTAACATTTTCTTCTTGACATTGCTTGATTGACATGTTAGCCCTTATAAACATGATAAAGGGGTGAATGTTCAAAATCAAACATGATAAAGGGGTGAATGTTCAAAATCAAACGTTCTAGAGCATCTCTAATTAGAAAGAAGAAAACTCTAGCATTATCTTAAAAACTTGACCAGCCTGTAGTTTGGATGATGTGTTGGTTGCCTTGTGTACCACCAAAGTTTATGTCTAGACATCTTTATTGGAAAGCAAATATGGCTGCCTGTGGCATATTGGAATATATACTATCATATTATGAGTTGTCCGAAGTCATCCTCAGTAACCACTTTAAGTCATTGAGGCTGAGACATGCTTGTTCCCATCAGGGATGACACCTAAGTGTATTTTCAGAGTTCCTTATCCTGACTCACACTATTTGCTTCTCTCTGCCTTAACCTAAGATATGATTAAAACATTCTGTGTTATGTTCCACAAGAACAGTAAAAACTTCTCACCTGAAATACCCCACCATTCCCACTGGCCTCCCAAGTGACTAGCCAGTGACTCATCATACTCTCCATGTTTGCCCAACTTGGTTGTTGGTGAAAAGATTTCTGTATTTCTAATCCAAGCCATCCTATCAAAACCCTGATTTTCTCTTTTGGCCTTTTATGCCCTGTCAAATTTCCCCAACCATCCTTGCAGCGTGAAAATGAGAGAGTGACAAGTCCAGTTTGGCCTTTTACTTACGGTTGATGGACCAAGGCTGGGGCTGCATTCGGGTGAAGTGTTTTTATACCCCTGGCATATAATGTGGGGAAATATAGTCAATGCCTCCTCCGTCTGTCTCTATCTGTCCGTAATCATTTCGTTTCTGGAGAGTAACTTAAAAAACTATCAATATTTTTCAACAAAACTTTGCAGATATATCAAACAGATCCCAAAGTGGTGCCTTTTGCTATTTGCAGATATTTGGCTTTAATAAAATCACATTAGTTCCAATTCAGCAGGGCTTACTCTGCTACGAGGGTGAGGATTATTTTCTGATTGTGAGTGGTTCGACTTCTAATCAAGGGAGCAACTCAGCAGAGGTTTCAGAGGACTTGATCATTCCATCCCCAGTTGTTCAACTGTGGGTGGAAAGACTGACGACATATTGGGGAAATTGGGGGATTTCAGAGGACCCATTCGTCTCAAATATTTTCAGGAGGGGTCCAGACCAAAGTTTAGGGAGGTGGGTTTGGGTGAGATGTTCATACTGTTCTTGGGGAACATAGACAGAATAATTTCACAGAGAAGCAATTCAGGCTAATGAAATATTTTTACTAAAAATCAAAACATTTTCGTGATACAATACATTATTCTGAGTGAGTGTTTTTTTGGTTTTATGCTGCTTTTCGCAATATTCCAGCAATATCACGGCGAGGGACACCAGAAATGGCTTCACATTATACCCACGTGGGGAATCGTACCCAGGTCTTCAGCATGACTAGCAAACGCTTGAACCACTAGGCTACCCCACTGCCCCATTTTTCTGAGTGAAAAACACAGAATCTGATACTAAACTTAGAGTGCCAGTTGCCCTTTGTTATGTATCATCTACTCTCTGTTACTTTAAGTAGGGGGCGGTGGGGTAGCCTTGTGGTTAAAGCGTTGGCTCGTCATGCCGAGGACCCGGGTTCGAATCCCCACATGGGTACAATGTGTGAAGCCCATTTCTGGTGTCCACCGCCGTGATGTTGCTGGAATATTGCTAAAAGCGGCGTTAAACCAAAACTCAGTCAGTCAGTCAGTACTTTAAGTAGTTTGGTTTGCACTACCGAAAAGTGGCTGTCCACTTCCACTATTTTACATTACCATTTAGATGAAATGAACCTTCCCTGGGTTTGTATTACTAAATTCGTTGATATCAGTTGAACTTGGTTTCAGGTTGTAGCAGACACCCCTGATGTTCATGGAGATTTCCCTCATGTGAAGCTGGACTTCCTACAACCAGACAAGATAAGGTGAGAGACTGCTGAATGTCTGTCGTTAAAACTCGATTTTGCCAAATGTCTGTCAGTAAGACATCATTAGGCAAGAGACAGCTGAATGTCTGTCGTTAAAACTCGATTTTGTCAAATGTCTGTCAGTAAGACATCATTAGGCAAGAGACAGCTGAATGTCTGTCGTTAAAACTTGATTTTGTCAAATGTGTGTCAGGAAGACATCATTAGGCAAGAGACTGCTGAATGTCTGTCAGACATAAAAAAGCAAGAGACTGTCAAATGTATTATGAAGAGTACTGTATCATTGATCAAGTTATGTTGATTCACAGAGATATAAAGGGGAGAAGAAAGGATGCTGATGACCATGACCCAAGGACAGTAATGGTGCCTGACACTTTCCTTAAGAAACAGACTCCAGTAAGTGTGAATCATCTGGACCATGGTAGATAATCCCATGTCTCCTTCTGTGTGTTGTAGCCCTGTAGTGTGTGAACAGGCTGGTCCCACTTTGTGACCATGGTAGATAATCCCATGTCTCCTTCTGTGTGTTGTAGCCCTGTAGTGTGTGAACAGGCTGGTCCCACTTTGTGACCATGGTAGATAATCCCATGTCTCCTTCTGTGTGTTGTAGGCCTGTAGTGTGTCAACAGGCTCGTCCCACTTTGTGACCATGGTAGATAATCCCATGTCTCCTGTGTGTTGTAGGCCTGTAGTGTGTGAACAGGCTGGTCCCACTTTGTGACCATGGTAGATTATCCAATGTCTCCTGTGTGTTGTAGGCCTGTAGTGTGTGAACAGGTTGGTCCCACTTTGTGACCATGGTAGATAATCCCATGTCTCCTGTGTGTGTTGTAGGCCGGTAGTGTGTGAACAGGTTGGTCCCACTTTGTGACCATGGTAGATAATCCCATGTCTCCTGTGTGTTGTAGGCCTGTAGTGTGTGAACAGGTTGGTCCCACTTTGTGACCATGGTAGATAAACCAATGTCTCCTGTGTGTTGTAGGCCGGTAGTGTGTGAACACGTTGGTCCCTCTTTGTGACCATGGTAGATAATCCCATGTCTCCTGTGTGTGTTGTAGGCCTGTAGTGTGTGAACAGGTTGGTCCCACTTTGTGACCATGGTGGATAATCCCATGTCTCCTGTGTGTTGTAGGCCTGTAGTGTGTGAACAAGCTGGTCCCACTTTGTGACCATGGTAGATAATCCCATGTCTCCTGTGTGTTGTAGGCCTGTAGTGTGTGAACAGGCTGGTCCCACTTTGTGACCATGGTAGATAATCCCATGTCTCCTGTGTGTTGTAGGCCTGTACTGTGTGAACAGGTTGGTCCCACTTTGTGACCATGGTAGATAATCCAATGTCTCCTGTGTGTTGTAGGCCTGTAGTGTGTGAACAGGTTGGTCCCACTTTGTGACCATGGTAGATAATCCCATGTCTCCTGTGTGTTATAGGCCTGTATTGTGTGAACAGGTTGGTCCCACTTTGTGACCATGGTAGATAATCCAATCTCTCCTGTGTGTTGTAGGCCTGTAGTGTGTGAACAGGCTGGTCCCACTTTGTGACCATGGTAGATAATCCAATGTCTCCTGTGTGTTGTAGGCCTGTAGTGTGTGAACAGGTTGGTCCCACTTTTGACCATGGTAGATAATCCCAGGTCTCCTTCAGTGTGTTGTAGGCCTGTAGTGTGTGAACAGGTTGGTCCCACTTTTGACCATGGTAGATAATCCCAGGTCTCCTTCAGTGTGTTGTAGGCCTGTAGTGTGTGAACAGGCTGGTCCCACTTTGTGACCATGGTAGATAATCCCATGTCTCCTGTGTGTTGTAGGCCTGTACTGTGTGAACAGGTTGGTCCCACTTTGTGACCATGGTAGATAATCCCATGTCTCCTGTGTGTTGTAGGCCTGTAGTGTGTGAACAGGTTGGTCCCACTTTGTGACCATGGTGGATAATCCCATGTCTCCTGTGTGTTGTAGGCCTGTAGTGTGTGAACAGGTTGGTCCCACTTTGTGACCATGGTAGATAATCCCATGTCTCCTGTGTGTTGTAGGCCTGTAGTGTGTGAACAGGTTGGTCCCACTTTGTGACCATGGTGGATAATCCCATGTCTCCTGTGTGTTGTACCATGGTGGATAATCCCATGTCTCCTGTGTGTTGTAGGCCTGTAGTGTGTGAACAGGTTGGTCCCACTTTGTGACCATGGTGGATAATCCCATGTCTCCTGTGTGTTGTAGGCCTGTAGTGTGTGAACAGGCTGGTCCCACTTTGTGACCATGGTGGATAATCCCATGTCTCCTGTGTGTGTTGTAGGCCTGTAGTGTGTGAACAGGTTGGTCCCACTTTGTGACCATGGTGGATAATCCCATGTCTCCTGTGTGTTGTAGGCCTGTAGTGTGTGAACAGGCTGGTCCCACTTTGTGACCATGGTAGATATTCCCATGTCTCCTGTGTGTTGTAGGCCTGTAGTGTGTGAACAGGTTGGTCCCACTTTGTGACCATGGTAGATATTCCCATGTCTCCTGTGTGTTGTAGGCCTGTAGTGTGTGAACAGGTTGGTCCCACTTTGTGACCATGGTGGATAATCCCATGTCTCCTGTGTGTTGTAGGCCTGTAGTGTGTGAACAGGTTGGTCCCACTTTGTGACCATGGTGGATAATCCAATGTCTCCTGTGTGTTGTAGGCCTGTAGTGTGTGAACAGGTTGGTCCCACTTTGTGACCATGGTAGATAATCCCATGTCTCCTGTGTGTGTTGTAGGCCTGTAGTGTGTGAACAGGTTGGTCCCACTTTGTGACCATGGTAGATAATCCCATGTCTCCTGTGTGTCGTAGGCCTGTAGTGTGTGAACAGGTTGGTCCCACTTTGTGACCATGGTGGATAATCCCATGTCTCCTTTGTTTTACAGGCCATGCGGCAGTGGTGGGAACTGAAAGTGCATCATTATGACACAGTTTTGTTTTTCAAGGTAGGTTGACATCATTCCCTACAGTCAGATTTTGATATTCTGTGGATTTGATATGTACCCAACTAAATGTTGATATTTCCTTGCATTGACATAAAAGAAAGTAGACAAAGATGTTGTGAAGGTATGGCTAACTGCAGCATGTTCTATTCCAGATGGGTAAATTCTATGAGCTGTTCCATATGGATGCTGTGATTGGTGTTTCTGAGCTTGGTCTTATTTACATGAAGGTAATTGTTCATCACCAATATGTTTTGACAATTATTAAATTATTTTTCTTTGGAATAATGTTGCTTGAGCTTTGTGTTATGGAATGTAATCCTGGAGCATGTCGAGACAAATTCTGACTATCTCAGCACCAAAATAATACACAACAAAACACTTCTAGTTAAGTTTCAGAAGAATAGCAGTGTGTAAAGAAATACAGCTATGGTGAATAAGTATGTCAAATGATGGTAACATGTGACCCCTGTGCACCTGACAGTATCCATCCCAGTATCCCATGTTTGACTGGTTGTCCATCCCCGTAACCCATGTTTGACTGGTTGTCCATCCCTGTATCCCATGTTTGACTATTTGACCATCCCTGTATCCCATGTTTGACTGGTTGTCCATCCCTGTATCCCATGTTTGACTGGTTGTCCATCCCCACAACCCATGTGTGACTGGGTGTTCATTCCTGTAACCCATGTTTGACTGGTTGTCCAGCCCCGTAACCCATGTTTGACTGGTTGTCCATCCCCATAACCCATGTTTGACTATTTGTCCGTCCATGTATCCCATGTTTGACTGGTTGTCCATCCCCGTTACCCATGTGTGACTGAGTGTTCATCCCTGTAACCCATGTGTGACAGGTTGTCCATCCCTGTAACCCATGTTTGACGGGGTGTTCATTCATATATCCCATGTTTGACTATTTGTCCATCCCCGTAACGCATGTTTGACTGGGTATCCATCCCCGTATCCCATGTTTGACTATTTGTCGATCCCCTAACCCATGTTTGACTGGTTGTCCATCCCCGTAACCCATGTGTGACTGGGTGTTCATTCCTGCAACCCGTGTTTGACTATTTGTCCATCCCGTAACCCATGTTTGACTGGGTATCCATCCCCGTAACCCATGTTTGACTGGGTGTTCATTCCTGTGTCCCATATTTGACTGGTTGTCCATCCCCGTAACCCATGTGTGATTGGGTGTTCATCCCTGTAACCCATGTTTGACTATTTGTCCATTCCCTTAACCCATGTTTGACTGGGTATCCATCCCCGTAGCCCATGTGTGACTGGGTGTTCATCCCTGTAACCCATGTTTGACTATTTGTCCATCCCCGTAACCCATGTTTGACTGGTTGTCCATCCCTGTAACCCATGTTTGCAGGTTGTCCATCCCTGTTACCCATGTGTGACTGGGTGTTCATTCCTGCAACCCAGGTTTGACTGGTTGTCCATCCCTGTAACTCATGTTTGACTGGTTGTCCATCCCTGAAACCCATGTGTGAGTGGGTTTTCATCCCTGTATCCCATGTTTGACTGGTTGTCCATCCCTGTAATCCATGTTTGACTGGTTGTCCATCCCTGTAACCCATGTTTGACTGGTTTTCCATCCCTGTAACTCATGTTTGACTGGTTGTCCATCCCTGTAACCCATGTGTGAGTGGGTGTTCATTCCTGTATCCAATGTTTGACTGGTTGTCCATCCCTGTAACTCATGTGTGACTGGGTGTTAATCCCTGTAACCCATGTTTGACTATTTGTCCATTCCCGTAACCCATGTTTGACTGGTTGTCCAACCCCGTAACCCATGTGTGACTGGGTGTTCATCCCCGTAACCCATGTTTGACTGGTTGTCCATCCCCGTAACCCATGTGTGACTGGGTGTTCATCCCTGTAACCCATGTTTGACTATTTATCCATCACCGTAACCCATGTTTGACTGGGTATCCATCCCAGTATCCCATGTTTGACTATTTGTCCATCCCCGTAACCCATGTTTGACTGATTGTCCAACCCCGTAACCCATGTGTGACTGGGTGTTCATTCCTGTAACCCATGTTTGACTGGTTGTCCATCCCCATAACCCATGTTTGACTGGTTGTCCATCCATCCCCGTAACCCATGTGTGACTGGGTGTTCATTCCTGTAACCCATGTTTGACTATTTGTCCATCCCCGTAACCCATGTTTGACTATTTGTCCATCCCCGTAACCCATGTGTGACTGGATGTTCATTCCCCGTAACCCATGTTTGACTGGTTGTCCATCCCCGTAACCCATGTTTGACTGGTTGTCCATCCCCATTACCCATGTTTGACTGGTTGTCCATCCCTGTAACCCATGTGTGACTGGTTGTCCATCTTTTACCCATGTGTGACTGGGTGTTCATTCCTGTAACCCATGTTTGACTGGTTGTTCATCCCCGTAACCCATGTGTGACTGGGTGTTCATTCCTGTATCCCATGTTTGACTGGTTGTCCATCCGCGTAACTCATGTGTGACTGGGTGTTCATCCCCGTAACCCATATGTGACTGGGTGTTCATCCCCGTAACCCATGTTTGACTGGTTGTCCATCCCCGTAACCCATGTGTGAGTGGGTGTTCATCCCTGTATCCCATGTTTGACTGGTTGTCCATCCCTGTAACTCACGTTTGACTGGTTGTCCATTCCTGTAACCCATGTGTGAGTGGGTGTTCATTCCTGTAACCAATGTTTGACTGGTTGTTCATCCCCGTAACCCATGTGTGACTGGGTGTTCATTCCTGTATCCCATGTTTGACTGGTTGTTCATCCCCGTAACGCATGTGTGACTGGGTGTTCATTCCTGTATCCCATGTTTGACTGGTTGTCCATCCCCGTAACTCATGTGTGACTGGGTGTTCATCCCCGTAACCCATGTGTGACCGGGTGTTCATCCACGTAACCCATGTTTGACTGGTTGTCCATCCCCGTAACCCATATGTGAGTGGGTTTTCATCCCTGTATCCAATGTTTGACTGGTTGTCCATCCCTGTAACCCATGTTTGACTGGTTGTCCATCCCTGTAACTCATGTTTGACTGGTTGTCCATCCCTGTAACTCACGTTTGACTGGTTGTCCATCCCTGTAACCCATGTTTGACTGGTTGTCCATCCCTGTATCCCATGTTTGACTGGGTGTCCATCCCTGTAACATAGGTTTGACTGGGTGTCCATCCTTGTAACCCATGTTTGATTGGGTGTTCATCCCTGTATCCCATGTTTGACTGGGTGTCCATCCCTGTAACCTATGTCTGACTGGGTGTCCATCTCTGTATCCCATGTTTGACTGTATTCATTCCTGTAAAAAATTAAACCTGTGTACCACTTTAAGCTGGGTTTATCTGATGGCATTCATCACTTTAACCTGTTTATCTCATGGCATTCATCACTTTTACCTGTTGATCTGATGGTATTCACCATTTTAACATGTGTTTATCTACTTCCAGGGAGAGCATGCCCATTCAGGGTTCCCTGAGATTGCATACACAAGATATGCAGACTCCCTGATACAGAAGGGCTACAAGGTGGCCAGGGTTGAACAGACTGAGACCCCAGACATGATGGCGGACAGATGTAAACAAAGTAAGATGGGTTGCTGTCATTTGGACAGTTGAAACAATTTAGCAGCAACTTAAGTCTTCAAGGAAAAATCTGCATGGCTTCAGCTTTGGTTGATAGTTAACATGAGGAATATTCTTTGTTCCTTCAGCTCAACTACACACCCTTATCATAAAATAGAGTCATTCTTTTACTTTCTCAAGTCAGCACCTTCTGTCAATGCTTACAAAAAAGCAATAACTTGAGGTTTTTTGCTGACAATAAAGGTGATTGCTTATTGTCCCCCACTGCAACGCGGAACAGGGGACTATGTATTCAACGGCGTATGTTCGTACATACAAATGTACGTCCCGATTCTTGTTAACGCGATATCTCATGAACTGTTGTACCCAATGTCTTCAAATTTGGTGACAGCCTACACTGGGGGATTATGCAGACACCAGTTGATTTTGGTGACCTTGACCTTATCTTCAAGGTCACCACGCCACTTTGACCACTTTTCAAACCTACGTGACATCTCATAAAACATTGCACCCAATGTCTTCAATTATGTCAACAGCCTACATTGTGTGATTATGTGATCATTTCAGGCATCTTGTATGTGACCCAAAAAAACAAACTAGTAAATATGTTATAAATATTCCATTCTTTAGCGGCGGGACATTGCCATATCAGTGGCAAACACTTGTTTTTCCTTATCCTGACTCATATTTATTTGCTTCTCTTTCCTATTGCCTGAAACGTACTGGAAACCTCTCTGTTCATGCTCCCAAGGACAGTAATACATCTCAGCCAGTCTAAGTAAACTTAGGCTCAGTATTATCTGTTACACTGATAACTGAGTCTAACAAAACCTAGTAGAAAGTCCAATCAAGTCGTACGAATGAATTTTAACCAATCAGACAACGGCTACTTGTTAGGGTTCGGTGGGACTTACAAAACGGTTTTTGGATTTTCTCTTCCCTGGTTGCTGACACTGATCTATCAACAAACAAAAATCCACATATAACACCGATATTTGACCTGCTGTATATACGCTTATGGGTTTCTAATGACATGGTTACAATTTGCTTATATTTTTGCAAGATGACATCTTTGAATATTGCCAAAAACGCTATTTTCAGCGACTGTTTACTCATTGCGTGGATCACCCGGAAGTGATCATGTGGAAAATATCATTCAGAATTGTTTTTTAGGTAAAGGTTCAGAAGGTTTGGAAAGCTGTGTTCTGATTGGTCAGTCCAAAAGGTTAGACTCCATATAGCAGTGTAACGAATAATACTGAGCCTAAGTTTACTTAGACTGACATCTCAGCCAAACACGCCTCCTCTCACGCATGCGCACCAGCAACCCACATGGTGATCTCATCACTCTCTCCATTTTTGCCCAATAGGACGGTTGGGTGGAAAATTCTCTGCTGTTCTATCCAAGCTAATCCTCTTTTATAATCAATTATCTATCAAAATTAATACTTGGATATCCTTTATTAACCTTCAGGCATCATAATCATAAATCAGATTTCAAAATTTGTAATTATTTAGCAACATTTTCTTACTTTGTGATAGTTAGTGGGTCACATGAAAACTGCCCTACTTGTATTGAGAGTTTCAACCATGACCGTACACCTGTCTGTTCATCATGCATCAAATACAACTGCAATTTAAGTTTTAAATGTAGTTCTGCGCCGCTTACCGGACAATGATTGCAAATTACTTATTTTTCCTTCTCCTGACTCATGCTCTTTTTGCTTGTCTTCTTCTTCTTGCGAACATAGTGGAACACTTGTATCTCCCTAATTGAAGCTCCCTTCAATGTAAAATCACTAATTAGTACTCACCACGAGTTACCTCCCTTCCACAAGCTCGGGAACGAGGGCGCCACCTCCACCCATGTGCCTCACTCTCTCCTTCTTCGCCCAGTGAGCTGGACGTGAGAGCGCCTGTGTCTCCCGACACACTATATCCTTTGATTATATTTAGTTAGTTACCTCGTATAGACATCTATAGAGGTTTAGCTAGTATCCTTCAACAATTATATATTGATATTTAGTCGTGTTTCTACTGTTTATTCACGGGGCGCCGTGTTTGTTCAGTGGATTACGTTGATGAAAATTCTGTACTGTTGCAGATTACGTTTTTTATTCTGCTGCTGATCCGCAATTAATATGCCCTAGCTGTACTGCGCCATGTTCATTTTATTCACGTTGCAGTTGCGGTACTAATTTATCCAATTCTGCCTTTAATAAATAATTACTTTGCGTTTGAGACGCGAAGCAGATAGGTCGCGTAGGCAGAGTCTAGCCATGACTGATACACCTGAACCCCTCGCCAGTCTACTGCTGTTGGTCGACCCCCCTCCCGTCTGGTGTTCCGCTAGAGTGGTGGAGAGGCGTGGGACGTAGTCCGCCGCCTCCAAGAAGCGTCCTGCTTCCCCAGACATCCCATCGTCGCAGCCGAAGACTAGAGGGCTTCTACTGCATCTCAACGCAGACTTCGCACCCCCAGGGCAGCGTCGACCTCTGAGGGGAAATCAACAAAGTCTACTAGAACTTTCTCAGCCGAGATTGTTCCCGTCGCAGATTTGGGCCTGTATGATGATCAGCCGATCATCATACCTGATGTACATCAAAAGAATGACCGATGTCGGCAACAGTGATGTCAGCGCAGATCAACATGCAGCCTGATGTACCAACGCTGATATTCGATGATCTTCCTGAGAGTCCCGTCGCTACCATCACTCAACGCAGACTTCGCACCCCCAGGGCAGCGTCGACCTCTGAGGGGAAATCAACGAAGTCTACTAGGACTTTCTCAACCGAGATTGTTCCGGCCGCTGAACTGGGCCTCTACGATGATCAGCCGATCATCATCCCCGACGTACGCCACAAGAAGCGACCGGTGACAGCTACAGTGACATCAGCAGAGATCGCCATGCAGCCTGATGTCTCTACACTGATGTCAGACGACTTCCCTGAGGGCCCCGCCGCTAACATCGCAGAGAGGGCACCGACTACTTCGTCGCAGACCATCCCAGATGAACTGTTGCGGCAAATCATGATCATGATGGAGGGCCACTACAGACTGGAGAAGCAGCCAGCCCAGGGCCTGAGCCTTCGCGAAGGTTCCAACGCAGACGACACCCCAGAGGCACCCCCTGTCAGCGTAGCAGCCACGACGAAGCCACCTTCGCGAAGGAAGTCGCAGACCACCTCGACGAAGGACCCAGATGTACAGCCTTCGCGAAGGCGGGATAGATCATCACCTTCCTCGGCTTCATCCTTAGATGCGGACTCAGACCACCAGACCTCACGGAAGCCTTCGCGAAGGTCAAGTCGCCGTTCCTCAGGACCGGACGCAGAGGAAGGACACCTGACCACAGATCGTCATCGTCCAGAAGGACTTCGAGGGACTACACAAGAGCTTCGCGAAGCTATCAACATTCTCCTCACAGGTCTCCGAGAAGGTCAACCCATAGACGCAGATCACCAAGACGATCTCCTCGCCGTTCACCGCGCCGATCTCCTCGTACATCACCACGTCGATCGCCTCACAGGTCACCACACAAGTCTGCACACAAGTCTACAGTCAGGTCTCCCCGAGCGTCACCCGACATAGAGATAGAAACACACAGTCCACCATCAGAAGAGCATCAACCTCTCATCAGCGATGCTGGGATAGAACTTGATGGAGGCATCATTTTCTCAGACGCTGAGATACGATATTGGATGGTAAACAACCTAGATCTCTCTTCACCTTCCAAGAGTGGCAACTCGGCGCAGACATACCTGATGAAGGAAGACGATGCAGACGCTATCACCTTACCTCCGATCGACCCGATTGCTGCGGTGCCACAGAATGTGGACACAGCCTACCATAAAGCCATGAAAGTTCAAACGCCAGAGGCGTATGTTCTTTGGCCTTAATAGATCTAGAACGATCAATGAGATTCTTATCACCAGATTTCGTGACACGACTTCTGAAGATGATAGGATGATCTACTCGGCTCTACTTATGCAGAACCAGCAAGAACCACACCCTGTATGAAGCTAACGCTCATATATTGATCGGACTCTAGACACTTCGCTAAGGAAGTCCCAGGCCGCCTCCGCGAAGGAGCTAGAGCCTCACCAGTTACAAGGGACGTCGCGGAGGAGTAGCGCTTCGCCGACCCCACATCCTGTTGAACACAGGTCGTTCGCAAAGCAAGCGCTCATATATATATACTGATCTGGCTCTGACTCGATACCTTCGCGAAGGTCGCGAAGGCTAAGTGGCTCCAAGTCTACTTCACCCAGAAGATCTAGAAGGGATACTTCGAGAGCTTCGCGAAGTCTCCGGCGTTCACCGAGGAAGTCTCCTCCAAGGTCTCCATATACTAGCCACTCGTCATATATAGCTACTCGTCAGTCCGTTCAAGACATCGCATAAGTTGTCTATCAACTGTATGCCATATGCCGTCTATAAGCCTACACGAAGACAATTGCACAGGCTATTTACAACACAGAACGTTGCTGTATTAATTAGTCAACGACGTTTCATAGATCTTCACAGGAATCAACTTTTCCGTATAGATTGCTAGAATATGCAATCCCAGACTACGATACGATTATCTACATGCGTGACCATTACGCAGATCTGCAGACAATTCAATATCGAAATTGAACAGCAGCCTTGTTACAGCGAGTATAACTCATAATCGTCAACGTTTCTGAGAAGAAATATGTACAACAAGTTCAGCTTTAATTCTACAATTATGACGATACATTCATGTATACAGTCTACAAGCTGACAACTTGCAAGTTTATTGTACCTTTATATAAGGAAGTCGAATTATATTCAAAACTGAAGTTACTTTCACGACAGCCAGGAAAATAACCTACCCAGCATTAATATTACAGAGCGAGGTATTTCGCTACGGAGGTTTCAGCGTTTACCATTAACCCTCGAAACACGTGGTCACTTTCGGGTAACCGGGGAAGCTACGGTGAAGACCGGCGATTATGCTAATATCAGCGGCGGACAAGA